AATGTTTATATAGACGAGTACAACAGGCCAAGCCCAATCAAATAATAAGTACAATATAGACCAAATAATACATGACCCGCTAACACTCCCCCTTAAGTTGGCGCATGAAGATCATGAATGCCCAACTTGGACAACAAGAACTGAAACGTGGGTTTAGACAACAGCTTGGTGAAGAGATCCGCTACCTGGAGGCGCGACGGTAGATAACATGTAGAGACTTCTCGACGTTGAACACACTCACGTACAATATGGAAATCAATATCTATGTGTTTCATCCGCTCATGAAAAACAAGATTCGAAGCAATAAACAACGCGGACTGATTATCGCAAAACAAGCGAGGAGGATGCAAAATGGGCACGCCGAGAGCCTGAAGAACGTGCCTGATCCATCAGATCTCTGTGCAGGTGTTGGCCATGGCGCGATATTAGCCTTCTGCAAAATATTGAGACACCGTCGTCTGTTTCTTGGTTTTCCAAGAAACTGGGGATCCACCAAGCATGACGAAATACCCGCTGACTGACCGTCGGGTAAGGGGGCAACTGGCCCAGTCGGAATCACAGTAAGCCGTGATCTATAGTGTGCTATCACGACGAAGAAAAATTCCCTGACCCGGATGTCCTTTGAGGTAGCGCAATACACGCATGGCCGCGGCGAGATGATCGACCCGTGGAGCCTGTATAAACTGAGACAATACATGAACAGAGTAAGCTAAGTCGGGACGCGTGATAGTCAAATATATTAAACACCCGACAATACGACAGTAGCGCCTAGGGTCATGCAATTAGGGGCTCGCCGAACGACCCAGGCCATAGTTCGGTACTATAGGAATATCGGCAGGCTTGCACCTCAATAAGCCCGCTTCAGAGAGGATATCCAACACATATTTACGTTGGCACAACACCATTCCAGTAGAAGACCGGGCACACTCAATGTCGAGAAAATATTTTACCGGATCCAAATCATTCAAGTGAAAACATGTATCCAGGTAACGCTTAAAGGACGCACACAAAGAGGTGTTGTTACCAGTAACCAAAATGTCGTCCACATAAACCAAAATAGCCAAAACATCAGGACCACGCCGATATAAGAACAGTGTGTGATCCTTGTGAGCCTGTAGAAACCCATACTGACGCAAAACAGTGGTCAGTTTCTCAAACCAATTACGGGGAGATTGTTGTAGGCCATACAAAGACTTCCGAAGACGACACACCTTCCCGGGGTGTAGATGAGAATAACCACGAGGCACCTACATATATACCTCATCATGCAAATCACCATGAAGAAAAGCATTATTGACATCCAATTGATATACCTCCCAATCCTTGGCCACGACAACAGACAAGAGAATACGAACCGTACCCATTTTAGCAACGGGTGCAAATGTATCAGTGAAATCAGTACCTGGTTCTTGGTGATTGCCCATAACCACAAGATGCGCTTTGTCGCGCTCCTTTGAACCGTCGGAACGGAACTTAGTCTTATAAATCCACTGACAGCCCAACGCACGGCGGCCCAGAGGGAGATCAACAATGTCCCACGTGTGGTTACCCTCCAAAGCATGAATTTCCTGTTGCATGGCGGCCTGCCAATTGGCGTGTTGAACAGCCGTGCGGAAAGAGGTGGGGGCTTCCGCCGTGGTGATAGCTGCCAAGAAACCACGATACCTGTCTTGTAATTTATCATAAGTCACAAAGTTAGTGATAGGGAATCGAGTACCTGACCGTGTAGAAGGGCCCGAGGAGCTAGCATTGGAGTTGGACGTGAGGGTGGAGTGACAAACATAATCGGAAAGGTGAGAGGGTTGACGACGGGTGCGATGTGGGAGGGTCTGAAGTGGGACGACTTAGGGAGGGGTGGAATTCGGTTGATCATCGTCGGAAGAGGACGGTGACGAATCTGGGATGGGCTGAAGCGACGGCAGAGAGGGAATGACCACTTCGGACGAGGTGGATGGGGAGTTAGGAGTCGGGACAGAGGGTGGGTCGGGCTCAGAGATAGGGGCGGGAAAGTCGGCATGACAGGGTGGAGACGGGGACATGTCGCCGGCAGAGGAGGAGGTGGCGAAAGGAAACACGGTTTCATCAAAGGAAATATCCCGAGAATGGAACAAACAACGTGTCTCCATGTCGCATATGCGCCAGCCTTTGGTGCCGGTGGGATACCCGAGGAACACACACTTTGTGCTCCGAGGGGCGAATTTATTTGGTGGACACTGTATACGACAGACATAACATAGACACCCGAAAGCCCGAAGTTGGCTAACATCTGGGGGTTTGGAGTTTAAAACATGGCATGGCGTTTCCCCCCCAAGTATTTTAGTAGGTGTACGATTTATAAGATAAACGGAAGTACGAACACACTCTCCCCAAAACTCGAAGGGTAAAGATGCTTAAAACATTAAAGAACGAGCGACATTGAGAATGTGACGATGTTTACGTTTGACACACCCATTTTGTTGAGGGGTTTTAACACAAGAGGTCTGAACCGAGACGCCCAACTCGCGGTACAAGCATCGAAGTGGATTGTTTAGGAATTTGGTTCCATTGTCAGACCGAACAATTTGAATGGTTTTATGAAACTGAGTATGAACGAAGGCAAAGAATTGGGTTAAGCAGCTAGTGACTTCACTTTTATCAATGATCAAATAAACCCAAACAGCACGAGAATGATCATCCACTATAGTTAAGAAATAATGAGCACCAGTAAACAGACACAGAGAATAGGGACCCCACAAATCACAATGAATTAAATCAAAAATAGCTTCGGCTTTATTGGTACTTAAAGGAAACACAGAGCGAGTTTGTTTTGAATAAAAACAAATGTCACAAGACTCAATCTTTCTAATTTCAGATGTAGATTTATTGAAAGGAGGAAACGACAAAACAGTTGGAATCGGATGACCAAGTCTCTTGTGTAACAGAGTAGCTTGGTCGACATTGAGGGCTGAAACAGTAGTAGAGGGCTGGAAAACATAAACTCCGTTGCTAGCATTACCCTGACCAATCTCCACCATAGAAGCTCAATTCTGCTACACACAACAACGATCATCAAAATCAACAAGACAGTTGTTGGCCCGCACAAAACAACCAACCGATATAAGATTGCATCTCAAAGTAGGAACGAACAACACATTCCGAAGTACCAAAGTGGGCGACACACGCACACTCCCACTAGATTTAGCCAACACACGTGACCCATCTGGCTGTTGGAGTTGTGCCCTGATGGCCAACTGTTTATCGTTATTCTATCATGTATAGGCAGATATAATATGTTTACACATCTCATGCGAATGTAAACAAATATTATATTCCTAGATTTATATTTAAAGATGTTTATCAGATAGTGTTATTCTGCTGATGAGACTAACATCTTGAAGTAAATATTTATCTTAATGTTCATAGTCGAGTATTAACGAGAGTGGGATACCGTTAATGCATGTGAGACTAGTGTGTGTTGGATGTTTGACTTAGTCTCATAGTCAATGACGGTGTGTTCGCATTCGCAGATGGGCAGATATTATCTAGAGATAATATGATGCCATACTGACCCATCCTAAAGATGTTGCTTGAACTTTTAGTTCATGCTCTAAGCATCTTTAGCGCGACCACGGCTGTACCTATCCTTCGACTTGAAGTATTATGTTTTCTGCATATGTGAACCCGCATGCTTTGATGCATTGTCCTAAGCCATATGAAATAAAGATGGTATACAGACTTTGTTTTGGGTATGCCGTAGCGCGTATTCAGAAATGTAGATTACGTACATAGGATTTGTCACTACTCTTTTAAAGAGATTTTTTAAGAGATTAATGTCTTATGGGGCCCACTGATAAGTTTTGACTGAGGAAATTGCATGGCCATGCTGAGATGTTTTTATGACGTTTGTTCCTATCAGTCAGACTTGATAAATCCGTGAATGACTTAATGGATACAAGCTGGATTTTATTAATCCCTTGCATTAAGTCTAGACATTGAGACAAAGGGATACAGTTACACGGAGTCTAAGTCGTGGAATGGTTTTAACGGTGCAAACGTCTTAACTTATAATCTAGGGGCAATAATGTATTGCTAGATACCGCTTATTGCTTATAGTATTGGTGCAGAGCTAATACTGTGGCCAACTTTATAAGTGCCTATACGGGTAACACACTTTGGACAATTTAATGAGTAGGATTAAACAATGGGATAATAAGTAATTTGTATATTTGTAAAAATAGTAAAATAAAATATTTTGGAATATAATATTCTATATATAAATATTCGGTTATATATTATATATATGTGCCAATTAATATATATATATATATATATATATATATATATTATATGTTGAATATTTTATTTTGGTTTGTCATTTTAATTATGAAAATAATTATTTTGACATAAAATATTTGAAGTATATTTTATACTTGTTTAAAAAAATGATATTGGTATTTTTATTTGATTTAAAATTAATTTTATATTAATTTTGGTGTCAAATAAAATACACTTTGAACATTTGAGTGAAGAAGAATTTTGAAAATCCTTCTCAAATCAAAACATACGGCCATGTGATGTTAATGAGGATAAACTTCTTTTTGACCTTACATTTTAAAGATGTAGGAAATTTCCTAATTTGTCATTATGTGTATGATTGGTTTTTAAAATCCTCTTTAAGTTATTATACACAAAATTCATAGTAATGAAGGGAAGAAAAATTTCGGCCATGACATTTTAGAAAGAGAAATACTCCCTTTTGTGTTCCATTAATATCATTTTGTGTATAGAAAATATACATAATATTTTAAATATTATTAGAAATATTTTCTATAAGAAATATACAAGATTATTATGATCCCAATTTTAATCTTTATATTTATACTACTATAATCTTTACTAGCATAAAGATTGTGGTAGACTCCGGCGTTGTTCGTGTGTCAAAGTTAGAGACCGGACGCTTGAATGGTTACGTTTGCACTTTCAACGCTCTTCCTACGACTTCTTCGTTTTTACCGCTTACGGAAAAAGGTATAAATTTCTTATTTACTATAAGTTTTAGTACGTGATTCTGGGCAAGATAATCATGTTAGGATGTTAAAATTTTTATTTTCCGCTACCTATTCTTGCATGGTTACCTTTCACTAGCAGAGTGATAGGGCACGACGGAATCGGGCAAACATCAAGAAGAAAAGAGATTGTACCCGTCATGTGGTGAGACGCAGCGCTATCGACAAGGCAATCACCGGAACTCTGGAAGTGGACTGTGGCATACCATTCAACATCATATTGGAAGACGAAGGGCTGAGCATCGAGAGAAGACGTGTCACTTGATCGGAGGACAACGACGCCGGGATAGCCTCGCTGGATTGCACGGCACCAGACGCCTCCACAGTCACTGCATTGGTCGTCCCCTCGCTTCCAGGAGCTGCACTGCCTTTGGTCCCCCGTCCTCCTGTCCGACCACCACGGCCCGTCCTGCCACCACCATGCCCCCCTGCCGCCAGGGAAACCAATAATTTGGTAGTAGCAATCCACCGTGTGTCCGATTTTACCACAATGGGTGCACTGATAGTGGACCGGAGGAGGGGCACGACCCACGGCAAATGCCATCGCGCCCATGCGATCATCCCGAGCACGAACAATGGAACAGTGACGTTCCTCTCGAGCGACCAAAGAGTAAACACGACTAATGTCTGGCACGGGTTCCGTCCCGAGGATTTGGGAACGGGCTGACCTATATTGTTCATCATCCAGGTCGAGAAGAAACATGTGAGTTTTCTCGTGTTCCACGTCCGCACGAATCAACGCGGCAGCCGCACACTTGCAACTGAACGTAGGGTCCTTGGTTCCATAACGTAATGAACTGATGGTAGTACACCACAACAGACTGTCCCTTTTGTCGGAGATTTTACATCTCGGTTTTCAACTGATGGACACGAGGCCCATTCGAACCACCATAACGAGACTTTAAATCCGACCACAACTCGTGAGCAGCCGAGTGAGACATGATGCTTGGTTGAACAGACTCGTCAACACTGTTCAGAATCCAAGCACAGATAATCGAGTTGTTCGATTCCCAGGCCGCATACTCAAGGTCGTCAGACAGCTTTGGGAAACCGTCGGGAACCAAAAACTTCGCTTTGCCACGTCCCTTTAAAGCATTACAAACAGCCTTCTCCCATGTATCAAAGTTATCTCCACGCAGCAGATATTTCATGAGAAAATTCCCTGGACCTTCGGACGGATGAAGGTAATATGGAGAGGACGGGTCGTGAATAGGAATGAGCACCTTCTTTGCGGCACCTTCTGTCATGGCGTCGGCACAGGAGCAGTCAGCGACGAAACTCACGCAGCACGATCGGGAATCCTAGGGTTTCAAGAGTCCCAAGTTGGCTCTGATACCATGTAAGACTTTGTGTACAAATGACTTGCATTCTCATTAATCAACAAGTGTTTATATAGACAAGTACAACGGGCCAAGCCCAATCAAATAATAAGTACAATATAGACCAAATAATACATGACCCACTAACAAAAAAAGATACCGGAGTAAAATTTTATATGTTATTCGAAGTGAGACTAATTATGGGACGAAGTGAGATTATTTTTTGGAGAGAGAAAGTAAACGATAAGAGTTGTGTTATTGTGAACATAAGGTTCACACGTGAATTGTGCTTTGTCACATACTCTCTCTGTCCTACAAAATCTTTCGTCTTTCATGTGTTTGAAAAGATCTTTCTCATTTTATAAAAAAGTCACTTTTGCCCCTACTAATTCTTAATTTACCTATCACATCATGATTTTTTCACTATTAATCTACCCATTACATCTATTTTTACTCATCACATCCAAGAGCATTTTTGAAAAGTCAATACCAAAACACACACTATTTAAATCTTTTAAAAGTCAAAACCAGAAAAGTTTTGTGGGACGGAGCTGAGAAATAATTATCATGAGCTCACAATTTTTTTTTACAATACTCAATATATGTATATAGGGTGGGGTTCCCATGACATAGAACCCAATGTCATTGACATTGGAACCCAATGTCATGGGAACCTTGGTGATGTATATAATCACTTTAGATTATAAAATGATCATGAACTTAACAAAATACTCCGTACAGAAGAATTTAGGAAACAGTAGGTGATGCAAGAAATGGAGTATAACTGTATATCAGTGGCGAAGTCTTTCAAAGTGTAGCACTAATTCCGGGTCTTCGCTTAAAGTATACTTTACTTTCACTAAAATCATACTCCATCCGTCCACAAATAAACTTTACATTGCACGTTACGATGTTTGATTGAAGTTATTTTCAAATCATTTTATATGAAAAATGGTGTAGAATTAAAAAACAAAAATTACATATTGAAAAATTACATCAAAAGATCTACAAAACTAGAGGTGACATGACTATATTATTTTATCAAATATGTAACTAAAATAGTCCAACAAAGTTAATAAAGTTTGATCCTGTGAATAGTAAATGTAAAGTTTATTTGTGGACGGCGGGAGTACTCTTTAAGGGCCTGTTTGGGAATAGAGTTAGAGATTAGCATTAACGTTTTGAAAAGGCTATCTACGGCCAGCGTTTAGCGTCAGCGTTTTCAAATTAATCTGCACCGTTAAAATCTAATCCAAAACACTAACGCTATTCCCAAACAAGCCCTAAATCAATAAGATAAAGTTTTCTTTTTTATAATGAAGTTAATCTTTTCTTAATATATTACTTTTTTTAGAGTGAACTCCATAAAAAAATCCCAGTTATAGGTCATTTTACATATTTAGTCCCTACATATCAAACATTACTAATTTTGTCCCGAATTATAAGACTAATTTCCACGAATGGTCCTTTGTTAACATTTTCGTTAAAAATATGGATAAAATTGTAAATTCACACTTCTTTCTCTCCTCAATTAAGCTTCCTCCCTCCCCTTGCACTCCTTTCCCAAACTCATCGCTGAGTTTGAAGCTTTGAACCCAAAACCAAAATAATCACTCTTCTCTCAATTGTTTGTCGAACTGATGGAACGCAAATTCGAAACTAGTAACCTTCATGGATGAGTTTTAATGTTTATTTTCTTTGGAATTTCTCGAGACTAATCGATAAAACTCATCCATAAAGCTTATTGGTTTTGATTTTAGGTTCTATCAGAAAGATTAATAATTGAGAGAGGAGTGAAACCGAGTGATCATTTCATTTTTCGGTTTAGAGCTTCAAACTCAGCGACGAGTTTGGGAAAGAGTATGAGAGAATGGAGGAAGCTTAATTGAAGAGAGAGAAAAGTATGAATATACAATTTTATCCATGTTTTTAACAAAAACGTTAACAAAGGACCATTCGTGAAAAAATATATAATAATTGGGGACTTAATTAGTAATATTTGATATGCAGGAACTAAATATGTAAAACGACCTATAACTGGGAACCTTTTATAGAATTTACTCTTTTTTTATATCATAAGTAGGAGTAAAACATATATAAAGTATCAAAATAGGAGTTTCATATTTTTATCCTCAAAATAGAGTTTATATTGTGTTGATGTGACACTGTATATGAACATTTTATAATACTTGTTGATAATGTATATGATCATGATTGACACTGTAAATGCATTTTAACTCATATTAGTATTTTGGAAATAAAAACGTGAAGCTTCTATATTAGTATATTTTTAATATTTTACTCCTATTTTAATTTTTTTCCTTATATTAAAATTATTTTTTGATACCAACAATTTGGAATATTTTTTATATTTTAATTCATTAAATACTTAACACTAAGAAAATCATTATATAATTTTATATATCATTAATAAAACATTTGCCATGCCAATTCAAACGAACGCTTAAAAAAGAATGAAGAGAGTACCTTATATATTACGAAAAAGTTAGTCTAATTGTTACACTAGGGACAAGAGTTATTGTGATTAAGGTAATTTTTTGACATAGTACAAAATTCTTATTGACTTAGAAATTTGTAGATTGAATCCTATTTCACCTAATTATAAAATTTCACGGAGTATTTAAATAACGTTCACAAATTAGGAGTTTATTACACCAACACCTCTTTATAGTTTGATAAATGTGCACCATTACTCCTCATGATTTTAAAACTTACATTGTTGGCCCTGATGGCTACGTCAATGTCCACTGGACAAAAATATCCTTCAAATATTAGATGAATAACTCGGTTGTCCCCTAATATTTTGGAAATAGGCACCAACGCTCCTATTTCTATATATAGTTAATTACTCTGTATATATTAATATATAGTTAATTACTCCGTATATATTAATAACATTTTTTGGACCAAAGCGCGAAAGATTTCCTTCATTACTTAATTTTCCCTATTCTATAAAAATATTTTTTTCATATACTTTTCTTTTCACTTTATTTTCTTTTCTATTCTTTTTTATTTATTTTAATTTTGATTAAAATAAAAAAAAGATATAAAATTAATGAAAAGAAAATGAGAAATTAGCTTTAGTGAAAAAAAGAGAATATTTCATTGATTTTCAAATAATGGAAATGAACCAATAAAGTCCTCTTTTGAACAAAAAATGAAAATGTCTAATTTGATGCAAATGAAGTGCATATTAATTTTTGTTATTAAATTGATTTTTATTGCAAACATGAAAAAATTGATTATTAAAATATTGTAAAAAATAATTTTAAAAAAAGAAATGAAAAAAATTTTATGAAAAAATAGTAAAAAAAGAAGAAAAACAATAAAGAAAGGAGGGGGTGTTTTTGCCAATTTCTAAAACTATAGGTGGCGGTGGAACTATTCACGTAATATTTGAAGAATATTTTAGTCAAGAGGGGCATTGACATAGCAATATCAGAACCATTAGAAGGAATATCGTAACTTTTAAAATGATAACGGTGCATATTTACCAAACTACAGGGGACATGGTGTAATAAACTCCACAAATTAGTTGGGATGTGTTCTGTTGTCAAGAATCGAACGTCCATCGATTTTTGTCACCCTAATGGGGTGTATAGACTAAATTAAATTTGCTTCAAGTAGCACCAAAATTTTACATTTTTCTCCAGATGACACCGAACAACTTTTTTTTCCAATACTGACATTAAATTAATTAACTAATTATTAATAATATCCAATTACCAAAACATCTTTGTATCTTAATTACTTTGTACTTCGATTCGTATAAAATATAGACTAAATTTTTTCTCCCTTTGATCGATTCTCTCTCTTCCTGATTCGTCTGCTTATATTTTCATTTTGATGGACATTGTAAAAATTATGGGCCTTCATTGATCCGGGATATTGTAAAAATCATGTACATGTGATATTGTAAAAATTATGCACATTATTTACTGATTAGGGACATTGATGGCTAATGCAATAGACATTTATAAGCGTGACAATGTCGTTTTTAACCAACAATAATTTGGCAATGGACATATTAAAATTAATGACGATATTGATCATTATTAGAGTAAAACCATGGAAGTTATTAAATAATGCATAATGAACATTAACAGAGTGACGGTATGATAGTGACGTTAGTATTTTGCGATCAACGAAGTAGGACATGGTAGAACAGTAAATATAAAATGAAATTTTTACACTAAATAGCACTAAAATTTAAGTCATTTAATAGAGCACTAAATTTGTACACTAAATAGCACTAAAAATGAAATTTTTCCCTAAATAGTACTTAAACTGTTTTATTCCCTAAATAGCACTTAATAATGTCCATAATTAATGTCTAGTGATGGCAAATATTTGCTTGAATAATGACTAATGCATAATGACTAAAAGTGCTACATTGGGAAGAAAAACACATCTGATGCTATTTAGGAAAAGTCATTATGTTTAAGTGCTATTTAAGTAAAATCCTCATATAAAATCATATAAAAGGCATTTTAATACACTATAATTAATGATTAATTAAATACTAGTGATGGAAATTAAAATTTATAATGCTATATAAAAAATTATTATTCCATCCGTCCCATAAATTCTTTCTCCTTTCTTTTTTTGTCTCACAAAATCCTTTATGTTTCTATTAAAAATCCACTTTTCTTTACCAATTCTTACCATACTTATCACATCATACTTTTTTACTAATAATTTGCCTATCACATCCTATTTTTAGTCCTCAAATCAAGAGTATTTTTAAAAAGTCAATGCAAAAACATCTCACTTTTAATTTTCTTAAATGTCAAAATAAAAATATCTTTATTAGAAAGAGGAATTATATATTTTAGTCTTATTTAACTAAGGGGCTGTTTGGCAACTTCTGAATAGGTAAGTGCTGAACCAGTAAGAGGTCTGAACCATTAAGTGTTGAACCAGTAAGAGGTCTGAACCATTAAGAGCTAGTATATTGCTTAACTATTCAGAGGCAAATGTCTGATCAATTCAGATAAAAGGTATTAATCATTCAGACTCTG